TGCATGAATAGCGAAGTATATAGAACGACATGGCGTTAGTTGGTTAAGCGTTTATAGTCCACTGGGGAATAACAGGTAAAAGAGGAAAAACACAAGAGACCAGGAACGTCATTATTTCTTTCTAACAGCACACAAACATATGGTGAGTCTCTGGTGCTGAAAGATTAAAGTCGAGAGGATAGCTTTTATTGCAGCACGTTTTATCCTACATGGTTCGATCACCCTTCATAGAACATCTACCCGCTTGCCGAGAACGAACACCGTAGCTCCGGCAACGATCTCTTCGGGATTTCTGTAAAAGTTGCACGCGTGAACCGAATGATGCAGCCTTGAAACGAACCCATGACCTTCAGAGCATGAAGCAAACCTTTTGACCACTTCGTTACGAAGACCACGCCTTTTCACACTGCTTGATATTGAAAGTGTTAATAGCGTTTTAATAGACGATTTTCAGATGTGCAAATCTGTAATAATGCAAGTAATCACTGAAGATTTCTAGTCGATATACTTTATACAACCAGAGGATAACCAGTATCACGTGCTTTACCGAATGTCATTGAGAAGCATTCTTTTGTATACTTCCGTCTTCCCTAAAATGTACAATAAATCCATCTGCATCCTCCACAGACATTTTCTATCTTTCTTCATTACTCCTTGGTGTTTGATTTTGGAGTTCCCACTGTCATTTCAGCTATGTTGGCTACGGGGTTTTCAGCAATTTCATAACTGTTAATGTAGATGAAATTTTTTCACATAATTGATTTATTATTGGCCTAAAGTCATTTTTGTTGTTGTTGTTGTTGTTGTTGTTGCCAGAATGTCATTTTCCGTGCACATGAGTTAAAGCCAGTTAAACGCTGCAGCCCACCGTGCTATGAAAGCACATTAAAAAAAATTAAGTAGGATGGACCACAAAATCTTGAGCTGGAAAAGAAACATCCCAAGCAAGTACCTTTAACTCCACCCACTTTTTCTTCTAGGTCATCGCTGTGAACGGGTGAATCACACGTTAAACGATCGCATTAAACTACAGTCACCAAGAAGAAGGAAAAACCTGATCTTTACCTGCACCCTAAAAATAAAATCATTCTGCAAAGATTATTTGTATTAACACATTTCAGGTATAAAATGTATATGAAATTATGAAACAGAATAATGTACTGAAGTCCATGTATTATTCTTTAACTCATTTTAGATTGCTGGACGATTGGCGTTTCTTGGACATACCCACGGGGCCGCCAAAACACGTTTTAAAAGAAAGGCGCTGCCCCGCTGAAAACGGCTCAGATGATACACGAGAACAGATGTCTTAGAAGAGTAAAGTTAGTTGCGTATCCTTTACAGGACGCTGCAGAACCAACCCTAGCATTTTTGGCTGTTGTGATTTTTCTAGGCAAGTTTACGTCCAGTGGTTTGCCATTGCTTACTGGACGGTCGGCTTTTCGATACCACTGTAAAAAAACCAACGCAAGGCGCAAGGCCTGCAGCTGGGATCGAACCCGGCACCCCGGTATTACAAAGCGTGTTCGTAACGCCCAAGCCACAGAGACCCAAAAATATAATGTATCTAATTGTATACGAAAGAGCCGCTGAAACTTCATCAGCTATGCACTCAGAATGGATAGACAAGACATCCCTGTCAAGCCCTCATATGGACACCGGAAGGGGAAAAAAACTTAGAAGACCAAGAGAGAACCTGCGTAGAACCATCACCATGGAAGGCTCAGACATAGGCCTAATGATCATCCAAGGCCTAAAACAGGTGGCAAGAAATTGTCAGACACGGAGAGCTTCGACCTCTGCCCTGTGCGCCGTCCTAAGCTCAAGAGGAAAGACTAGCTAGCTAGTTAGGAAGACGTTGTCCTTGTGTGCCACGACGTCTGTTTCTGCACCCCCTGAATCACCACCAGAATCCAAAACAAGTTAGAATCAAAATGAGTTTGGCTGTCCCTAGGCAACAACCGAGGTTTTTTAGCCCCCCCCCCCCCCCCCCCCCCCCACCCCCCACGCCTGCAGACATTAGTACACTAAAGATCGAAGTTTTAAATTTGGGTTACGAAGTTACTTCCTCTACGTAAAAACCACTAGAACGCTGTTAATTGGTTAGGAGTTTTCAGGTCTAATCAATCAATAATGAGTCATTATTTCCGCAACGTAAAACAAGACGACGCAAATTTCGCCAACTGCCCGCCAGCCAAATGGCGTCACTAACATAGCTTCCGTTGTCATGATTTAGGCTGGGCCAGATGTGTGAATGCATGCATCTTCGTACTTCACGCCTCGTTCAGTGCGTGATCTATGCGGCTATACTAAGATACGGTCGTCGGAATCTCGGAGCTAGGATCACGTGAGGACTACACCCGCCCCGTGTCTTCCCTATCCCACCCCCATAGAAAAATTGTAGAAGCCATGGAAAAACTCTCATCCAAGAAAATGTATACATTTAAGAACCACTGTCATCCCCTCCACCCCTCCCCTTTTTTTTTTCTCGTTAATCACAGTAGAAGTTCTCTACTTGAATATTTTTAAATACCCATTCAAAACATTATTATTATCATCATTATCATTGAACACCCACTTGAACAAGGCGTAAATCTCTTGAGCCTTACAATTTTTACGGGAATGAGCACATCCAATCTTTTTCTAGCGCCAGCGTCCCTACACTAAACAGTTGCAGTGCTCCTCACAACCAGTACCTCCGTTAGTGTGTGTAGATTGTAAGAACTTCACAGATTATGCACTGTTATGTTTGTATTATACTTCCGTTAGGGTGTAAAATGTTAGACCTTCACAGATTATGTACTGTTATGTTTATATTATACTTCCGTTAGGGTGTAAAATGTTAGACATCACAGATTATGTACTGTTATGTTTATTATTATACTTCCATTAGGGTGTAAAATGTTAGACATCACAGATTATGCACTGTTATGTTTATATTATACTTCCGTTAGGGTGTAAAATGTTAGACATCACAGATTATGTACTGTTATGTTTATTATTATACTTCCATTAGGGTGTAACATGTTAGACCTTGACAGATTATGTACTGTTATGTTTATTATTATACTTCCATTAGGGTGTAAAATGTTGGACCTTCGCAGATTATGTACTGTTATGTTTATTATTATACTTACGTTAGGGTGTGAAATGTTAGACCTTCACAGATTATGCACTGTTATGTTTATTATTATACTTCCGTTAGGGTGTAAAATACTAGACCTTCGCAGATTATGTACTGTTATTTTTATTATTTTAATACTTCCATTAGGTTGTAAAATACTAGACCTTCACAGATTATGCACTGTTATTTTTATTATTTTAATACTTCCATTAGGTTGTAAAATACTAGACCTTCACAGATTATGTACTGTTATTTTTATTATTTTAATACTTTCATTAGGTTGTAAAATAGTAGACCTTCACAGATTATGCACTGTTATTTTTATTATTTTAATACTTCCGTTAGGTTGTAAAATATTAAACCTTCACAGATTATGCACTGTTATGTTTATTTTTATACTTCCGTTAGGGTGTAAAATACTAGACCTTCACAGATTATGTACTGTTATGTTTATTATTATACTTCCGTTAGGGTGTAAAATGTTCGACCTTCACAGATTATGTACTGTTATGTTTATTGATATACTTTCATTAGGGTGTAAAATATTAGACCTTCACAGATTATGTACTGTTATGTTTATTATTATACTTCCGTTAGGGTGTAACATGTTCGACCTTCACAGATTATGTACTCGTTTTACTTCAGTTCGAGTGTAAATGTTAGATCTTCACATATTAAGTATTATTATTATTATTATTGTACTTCCGTTAGTGTGCAACAACTTATACATTTTACAGATTTTGATTTATTTTTTTACTTTCTTTACGGGGTAAAATGTTATACCTTTACAGATTATGTTCTATATTATTATTACAATACTTCCGTTGGGTGTGAAATGTAAGACTTTCACGGCTTATATATTATTATTATACTTATGTTGCAGTGAATAATGTGAGAACTTCACAGTTTGTGTATAATTCTTTTTTTTTTTTTTTTGTTCTTCTTCCGTTAGGGTATACACTTTAGACCTTCACAGATGATGTATTATTGCAAGATGAACTTAAAGGTGTCGGTGAAGACCTCAAGCGCACCGCCCTGTTTAATACATTACTAAGATTATTATCCACTCGTAACACTATATGTCGTAAGAGGGAAGGGGTTGGTTAAAGGGGGAGGGGGGAGGGGGTCACCAGTAATTGCTGCTAACTGTCTGATCAGCTCTTTCCATATTTGACGGTCAGATACAATGCATTCCACGGTTAGATGCCTAAGGCCTGTCCTGTCAGCCAAGTTCTGCGTCTAAGCCTTTCTTGGTCTGCCTCTTCTCCTCTTCCCTTTTTCTGAGCCTTGTAGCATTTATTGTTTTTGAGAGACCGTTAGATTTTTTAACATCTCTGTGCCAGTGTATTTTTAAGAGGTCTCCGTGGCGAAGTGGTCAAGCCGTTTTCCTCTCGCTCTAATGGTCAAGTGTTCGCTTCGCGGCTGCGCCGTTCAGTTCACAAGTGCAATTGCTTCGGAGATCTCTGGAGATCGTAGTCGGAGCTACAGAGTTTGTGCTTTGTAAAACGCTGTTGGCAGCGGACTAGCCCTTCTGCTGAGAGAGGCTTTAAAATCTATTATTTTTTTTTCAGACCTACCATTACATTTTTTCCCACGCTTTTTTTATGCGCATATTGTAACAGGCACTAAGCTTAGCAAGCAGTAATGGCTGAAAAAAAAGAAAGAAAAGAGGAAAACCACATTGAGTGCTTTTACAGAAGAATAGTTTATTTTGTTGTTTGCTGTGCCATGATAAAATAATATGTTAAAACTGTGACTAAAATAAATATCTTGAGTGTAGAAAATAACACTGACTTTGCTGTATCTTTGCGTGTTCTTTCGTCAGCCTTGATGTTGCTAGCATACTTCACTTTTTGGAACCATGGCATCGTGTTGCTTAATAAGTACGAGAAGCACTATAAGGTCCAGAAGTAGGGGGACTAGAAGTACCATAAGGTCGAGGAGTACTTGGAGTGCTATACTTATCAGGATAACTAGGTCCTGTGTTTGCTGAGAAAGAAAGAAAATGCAATTAGTAATATTTGTGTAGAGTAGTCACAAACCAACCTATTGAACGTAAAATTTGCCTAGAAAACCACAACAGCCAAAAAAAAAATCATGAGGTTGGTTCTGCAACGTCCTGTAAAGGATACACAACTAATTGAGTCACAAACCGCGTTAGAACAGGAAGAAATTCGTACAAAATATACAAATGATTGGGTTTAAAGTGTTAAACTTTTACATTTTCTAGGTCCTATTTATAAAGGCGAGGTGTGTATGTGTGTGCGTGTTTGTGTGTGTGTATATGTGTGTGTGTTTGTGTATGTATGTATGTATGTATGTATGTGTATGTGTGTGTGTGTGTATGTGTGTGTGTGTGTGTGTGTGAGTGTGTGTGTGTGTGTAATTGACATAGATCCGTCGGCTCTCTATAGGTCATGTTGTCACCATCACGCCGAATTTACTTACCAGATCTGTGCCCATTTAAGGCTGGGTCGACCTGGGAGCGAAGGTCATTCGTGAAAAAATATGGCTCCATCAGGACCCGAACTCAAGACCTTTCCGATCCGCAGGCGAGCTCCCGTGGTTACACCAATGCGACTCCCATGCTACGTTATATAATATTTTAATATATACAACGATATTTAAGGGTAATAATCGTAACAAATAACAGACTGGAAGACAAACTGCATGATTATTTCCAAACGTTTGTGCAGAATCATATCCACTACAGACAACCATTATGACTTAGATAGAAAACCGATTAATGATAATTTTAGATTCACAATATTTATGTGCTGTTTTTGAAAAGTAGAGAAGATTTTCTTTCATTTCTGGTATACGTTTTCCTCTAATCAATACTTTCTAGCATCCTCTCGCTTAGGTTTCTACCCTCCTCTCGCTTAGGTTTCTACCCACTCTCTTCTCATCCAACTTGCCTGTTGCCACGATGTAATTCGGTTTTCTCCTTCCCAAACTGGAGGACTTTTGGAGCTTTAATTTTTTAATTTCCTCTTTAGATAGTATCTCTCAGTTGATGTCCAGTTCCATTTAATTCCTAAAGGCTGGATATCTATAAGAACTTCTGGGGCTGGTCTATTCGAAGGTATTTCAAAATATTTAGCCCATTGTCCATTTGATCGTTATGCTGCTGTGTACCTTTCCTGGACTATTATTGATTGGTCCAGTTGGTTAAATACATTTACCTACTAATTTCCTTGTGCTACTGTAAAGATCTCATCGGGTTTGCTGCTGCTGTCTCCTTTTCTTGCGCCAGGTCTTTTTCTCTTTTTTTTTTCCGTTTATCTGCATTTATTCAGTCCCATATGTGTATATGTGTATATAAAAACACCCGGGCGAGAAGTTTCTCTGATCAGCTGGGGACACTGATGCCTCTCTTTCAACAGCTATCCATTCCGGCCACCCTTGATCAAAGATAGCTATCACTCTATACAGGGTTGCTTTGCTGGGCGGCACTGTCAGCCATTCCTCACCGTGCGCTATTGTGTCTGCCTATACCTTCTATACCTCTTTTAAGCCGATGTCCATTGCTATTACCCCCACCCCCTTCCCACCAAAGCTTCGTTTAGAAGGTGTTCCCTGTCTGTTACAATGTTTGATACATTTTTTGGCTGTAACACCTTGTTCCTTTCATTTACAGACAGTGATGCCAGCATGCACCGCATGCACACGATTGTCGTGTCCCGTTTGCATCCCAAAATGACTCACATGGCATCATTGTGCATGCATTCCAGATTTTCTAATGGCTGTTGGACAAAGGAAGCTGTCCTAAACCATGCCCCATCACAGAAATAAATCAGTTGCTGTGAGAGCGTGTAGAGAATTCTCTTTTCCATGTCTGTTGATGCCATAACTTTTAATGCATCGAGACCTTTTCTTGTCTTTAATACTACGTATTTCACATTCTATCTGAATGCCTGGCTTCTGTCAAAAAGTTATTCGCATATATTTTTGTAACTGAAACAAATAATTGATCGGAAATTACCTTTTTACACAATTTGACATCTCATCATAAAATATTATAGCAGTATTAAATTGAAATGCTAGACCCCATTTGTGTAAGACCCCAGGTCTCGCAATCAATTCTCTCAGCCTGCTTTGTGGGCGTCTTAAAAACCACGACTTGTGTGTGTACAGCTGGTTCTCTCAAGTCAGTTAAAAGCTGCATTACAGCCTCTACCACTCCCTTTTTCAGGTATTGTGGTTTCATGTGCCAGGCCATGTCGCACTACGGGTCGTTCGTTGGTTTATACTTTGAACTCTAATTTCCTTTATAAGCTGGTGTTTCTTTAAAAATACATAAAGACTTATAAGACGTCAAACAGACTAGCATATATAAATTACTCACAAGAATGTACAATACTTACTGGACGATGACCTAACACAGGTACAAAGTTTGTAGTCGAAGACAGTGTACTTGGGGCATGGTAGCGACCTTCCGTTCACCAAATATCTGCTGCTATCTTTTGGATCTGGCGAAAACCCTTCTGGACATGCTAAAAGTATATTTGTTTATGTGTGAAAGGTTAACATTGCGCTACTTTTTTGCCCAACAGATTAGTTTTTTACGTAAACATGAAAAGCTTTTTTCTGGAGTAACCCTTATAGTTACTTTTCGGTTCAATCCAAGCAACTCTTTCGCGAAATACCTCATTCAGATATTCCCCAGGAGACGTTACACAGCCTTTTAGGATGTCAGTTGACAGCTACCTCGGGACCTCACTCCTTTAGTCACTTCAAATGACAACTCTATGCAGCTGCATCTAGGATTAGTTCACATAACTAATTCAGTGACAACTCACACAGCTAATACTAGGGTCAACTTACACTGCTGTTTCTAGGATCAACTCAAATAGCTTATTCTATAATCAGCTCCAGCAGCTTATTCTAGGATCAGCTTAAGTGTCTTATTCTAGGATCAACTCAGGTAGCTTACTCAAGGATCAACTCCGGCAACTTATTTCTATTCTAGGATTAACTCACGAAGCTTACTAAAGAATCAACTCCACTGCTTCTTCTATGATCAACTCACGTTACTTACTCTAAAATGAACTCTAGAAGCTTATTCTATGATCAACTCACGTTACTTACTCTAAAATCAACTCTAGAAGCTTATTCTAGGATCAACTCACGTTACTTACTCTAAAATCAACTATAGAAACTTATTCTAGGATCAACTAACATAATTAAATCTAAACTTTTATGAACATCAGGATCCTTGCATACCCCCTCCCCCCTTCCATTTCTCAAATCATTGGAGGGTCTTAAAAAACATAAGCCTAATTTTAGTGCGTGGTAGTAATAATATGTATTATTAGCATCATATGCTAAGGGCTATATAAATATAGTGATATGTCTGAAAAAATGCGAAACGTATAAAGTAATGCTTCAATGAAAAACGTCTATACATCGTTGGGAGGGGTGGGTTGGTTACTTAGAGATTCAAAAGGAGGTCGCCATAAAAATATTGGGGACTCTGTCCTTAAAGTACCTAAGTGCCTACCTCTAACTTTCAGGTTCTGAAACCCCTGAAATATAGTGCTGCAATACATTCTAATAAAAATCGTATGATATATATGACATAACTTTGTCTGGGACATCGTAAGTAAGTGTTCAGTGTTGCTACATATTATCTAAAACATACAGGGGCGCTACAACTTGGAGGCTCCGGTCCATTGAGGTCTCTCCGTTTCTCCTTTTCCACAATACTTAATGTAAGCTCTATGTTAAAGGTGGCCAATTTGACCCAGAGCACTTCACGTGAAATCAAATAAAATAAACAGCGATACCAACATACAGCTAATGATACAGTCGTGTCTGTATGCGTCGTAACTTGGAATAACAGTAAGACAGTATTTTGTGTTATCCGGAAAGATATAATACTTATTCTGAATAGAAATTACAAGGTTGAGTTTGATGAAAAACATTGTCTGGGGTGGGGGCGGGGAGAAAGGGGGGGGGTGGAGCTGTGTTGAAATTCTTCACAAAGGCGCCGAAACCTGGGTGGTGGCGGGGTGGGGGGGGGGGCGCTCAGGTCCATGTCCTTTTCTCTGTACCGCCATTCACCGCAATTGAGGATGAGCGGAGACCCAAATATTTAGTAAAATTTATATTTATCCATAAAAAATCTATCTGACTATTGACACAAATTCTGTAACGTTTTCTTCTATTTGATATGTCATGAGTGTTTAAAAATGCAACAGTCTTCTATCTGAAAACTCACCGCTAACACAGGTAGGGTCAGGGACACATCTGCCAGACGAATTGTCAAATCCTTCTCCGGGAGCACATTCCTGATACTGGGGCTGGCTTCCATTACACTGGAAGTAGGCGTAACACACTCCACTGACTGGTGCTGTGTTGCTGGGAGAATTCTGATTGCAAATACCTTTTATATGATAAATAAACAATAAAATTATGCAGTTTAATTTTGGTGCAAACATTCAGAAACAAAAATATGTTGCCTAAATAATATCCTACCCTCAATGACGTCACAGGACAATACAACATTTTAGAGCGTGGCAAGACTGGATTTCCCGGTTTTCTGGTGCTTTCAGTGACCACAAAACATACAGAACTAGCCCTAACCCCTAACCTACCTAGTCCCACAAGAGAGTGCAGCCTAGGTACCACGACTGCATGCAGCCTAGGATCCACGACTGCATGCAGCCCATCTACCATTCCCTAAAATATGTGACTGTCCCGTGACCTGTGGATTTTTCCTGTTTGGGGAAGAATGTTTAAAAAAAACGCCAAAAACATATTATATCTCAGCTGCATAAGAATATTTTGCTTATATCATGCGCCATGGCGGATTTTTAGAAAAAAAATTAATTGCAGGAAGGAGGGCCAGGAGAGACCAACACGAAGATGGGCACATGATATATGTCATTCCATAAAGTATGAAAGTATCTCAGGCAGGAGAGCTGGCAAGGGACCTAGTTTGTTTCAGGCAAACCGTTATGAGAGCGACTTTCTGCGAAGGTCTTGCTACAACGTGATGTAACTGGATGAAATTATACATTAGTATTTACTTTATTCTCGGCGTTATGTCTGATTCCCACCCCCCCCCCCCCCCCCCACAAGTAATTAGAATGCATTTTTGCTTATTTGAGGAATTTAAATATATGACGTGACGATCCTTGCTGATTTACTTTCCAAGAGTTATATACAGCACAAAATTCTAAGTTAACAAGTCGACCTTTAACAAAACACATGTTTCTGGTGTTAGACGTAAATTCTACAACTGTTGGGCTGAAGGTGTCCCAGCGAGCTATAAAATTAGTGTGCACGATCGTCTCCAAGTACGTGAAAAAGTTGTAAAGGTGTAACTTATGTGGTTAGGGTGGAGCTTTGGGCATTTTCCGTCGTTACTGTTTCTGTTAAATTATACAAGTGATGAAAATAACAAAGAAAATGACTGTTTCTATTCAACTAGGCAAATAGTATTTATGTGTAAAGCATTAAGTCGGTAAAAAAAAATTAAAAAAAAAAAACAAGAAAAAAAAATTATCAGGTTCCCATTATAAACAGTTACCGAGAAATTATCGAAAATACTACAACACGAATTAAAAAACGCACTATAAGTAATCTATCAAAAACTGGCATCAGTCGATCAAGATATTTTCTCACGTATTCCATTTCCTTACTCGGTAGCCAATGACGAGTCTGATGCTAACACTACAAGCTGCAACATTATTAATAGACAGCCTATGATTATCTACCAGGTCCCCTACTAACCCGACCCCGTTTAATTTATCTCTAAATGTATTGATTCTCTGTCGGTTCCATTGCACTGTCCATCTGATACTAGAGAGCCTTTACAAGGCCCGCTTTATCATAAAGTAGCTCAACGCCAAGTGGTGCAATAGCAGCTAACCTACAGACTGTTCATTACCATCCACATATCCGTATATCCTGGGCAGAAAATCCATTATTTGCTCCTGCTATGAATTAAACCAAGTGGTGCGATAGCAGCTAACCTACAGTCTGTTCATTACCATCCACATATCCGTATATCCTAGGCAGAAAATCCATGATATGCTCCTGCTATGAATCTAACCAAGTGATGCAACCCTTTCTACGTGTAGGACGCAAGTTTCCATTATTATTATTTTCCATGACTATAAAAAAACCTAGTGAAGTCTCCACAATGTAGTTTGGTTGTCGTCCGGGTTTAATCTTCTGGTGTCAGCTGTAGGCGTTACCGGTACTTTCTTGTTAAACCTCACTATTTTTTCAGCGCTTTTGTAAGAGACACTATGTAGTGAGTACCGGCAGCTTCTTTTTTTCCCCCTAAATATGTAAGTAATTAAAAGACCTATATTTTATAGACCTATCAGCGACACTTAGCGATGTCAACGTCACGTCAGCTACTTTTACTTCCTAGGACTTTCCTTGGTGCCCATTTAATGTTGGGTCGATATGAGAGCCAAGGTTATTTGTGAAAATTCCAGTTTCTTCAGGACCTGAACCCACGACCTTCGGATTCGCTACATCAGGGCGGCTCCAACATTTTTTTGGGCACGATTTTTCAGCGCTTCTGTAATAGACGCTTGGCTGTGAATAACAGCACTTTTCTATACGGGGGATATTGAACCCCAGTACGTGAAGTATAGGGAGCGGCCGTGGTGTAGAGGCTAGATGATTAGCTGTGGATCAGAAGATCGTGGTTTCGTGTCCTGGCGGATGGTTTAATTTTGACATCATCCACCGAGTACTGGTGGGTCTGTCCTATATGCCTAATTGGCCTGTTTGAAGTTTGAACAACGGATCAACATCATGGCACACGATAATCCATAAGTGCTCCGTTCTACTTCTAACTAGTGTGTTTGTATCTGAGGTAGCTCAGCGTAGTGCACGAACTAAGTAGCAAATAAGACAAGAGATCAAGCAAGACAATGTATCAAATTTTATAACAAAACGCCGCTGGAACTACGGCGGTCAAACACTCACAATGGATAAGACAAGACTCCCCCATCAAGCCCTTATATGGACACCAGAAAGGTAGAGAAAACGGGGAAGACCAAGAGAGACTCTTTAGAACAACCATCAGGGAAGTCGAGCGGATGACACCTCTGAGAAAAGGTGTCGTGCAGATGACACTTTTGATGTATGGTGCTGTATTGATGATACGTTTGGTGTATAGTATTGTGTTGGTGACACATTTCCGGTGAGGCGTTGTTTTGGTGATACATTTGTTGTAGTGTGTTATAGAATTAACATATATGATGTATGGTATTATCAACTTACTTCCATACGTTATTCACATCACTGCAGCACGCTTAACTCCCACACACACACACCGAAAACTACTCACATAGCTTACTTTTATATCTTTGCCATTCTATTCACAAAATTTAACCTGTCTGAAACCACTCACACACACACACACTTAACATCACTGACATTTACATATATATATATATATATATATATATATATATATATATATATATATATATATATATATTCCTTCTGTGTGTGTTTGTGTGTATGTGTGTGTGTGTCATATGCATACACACGCATACACAGCTTACTTTAACATCGCTTATACACACATACATATACACTTGCATACCCCTAAAATTGTATGCATTAAACTGCTACATGTATAAACACGCATACGCAACTTACCTTGCTTTGCCGCAGGCTCTGCTCCATACTCTGGCGCTTGTGGGGAGCTTGTAGCTGGAGTCTGGGGTTCAGGACCAGATACTGGTGCGTATTCTGGGGAGCTGGGGTTGGAGGGGTTGGAATACGCTGGTCTGGGTGTGGAAACTGGTTCTGGTGTAGGGGCTGGTCTAGACACGTAGTCTGGTTCAGATGCATAAACTGGTTCTGGTGTGGAAACTGGTCTGGATGTGTAGACTGGTTGTGCTGGGTAAACTGGTTCTGGTGTGGAAACTGGTGTAGATGTGTAGTCTGGTTGGGGTGAGTAAACTGGTTCTGGTGTGGAAACTGGTCTGGATGCGTAGTCTGGTTGGGCTGGGTAAACTGGTTCTGGTGTGGAAACTGGTTCGGACGTGTACACTATTTCAGGTGTGTACTGAGGTGGGGGTGTGGAAACTGGTTCAGGTACGTACACTGGCTCTGTCTGGTATTCTGGTTGGGCTGGGTTTCCTGTGTCAACCAGGTTGTCTTGTCCGTATCCTGGTTGTGGCCCATACTCTGATTCTGGGTTTGAGCCTGACTGATATGTTGTAGCGTACTGACTGCAGACTGTAGCCACGAAGGCTAACAACAAGGTGACCTGCATGTGCTTCATTTTGTAGGATTCCGGATCAGTTCCTCTGTGAAAAATGCATTGATTTTTAATTATCAGTATAAAGTTTACAGATTAAAGGTGAGAGGATCCAGTTTATTGCACTGGGTTTAATCCAATAAGGCTAGGTATTTCTATGCAGAACGGGTAGGCGCCTGCTAAGAGTGTCACACAAGCACGATCTCCGTAAGAATCACCGTAAAATATTCACTCGTTAACCGAACGACGCCGTCGTGATACGAACCCACGCCCTTCAGAGCGAGCAGAGAACGGTTTGACGACTTGGCCACGGAGACCTTTCTCAATTCTCATTATTTGTAATTGCAAACTCTTTTAGTGCTAGAGAGTTGTGACTGTCATTATGATGTTGACCTTACTTAATGCACTTTTTTGTGCGAGAGAGTTCTGACTGTCATTCTAATATTGACTTTACCTAACGCACTTTTTGTGCGAGAGAGTTCTGACTGTCATTCTGTTGACCTTACTTAATGCACTTTTTGTGTGAGAGAGTTCTGACTGTCATTAGGATGTTAACTTTACCTCACGCACTTTTTGTGCGAGAGAGTTCTGACTGTCATTCTGTTGACCTTACTTAATGCATTTTTTGTGTGAGAGAGTTCTGACTGTCATTCTGATGTTGAGTTTACTTAATGCACTTTTTGTGTGAGAGAGTTGTGACTGTCATTCTGTTGACCTTACTTAATGCACTTTTTGTGTGAGAGGGTTCTGACTGTCATTCTGTTGACCTTACTTAATGCACTTTTTGTGTGAGAGAGTTCTGACTGTCATTAGAATGTTAACTTTACCTCACGCACTTTTTGTGCGAGAAAGTTCTGACTGTCATTCTGTTGACCTTACTTAATGCACTTTTTGTGTGAGAGAGTTGTGACTGTCATTCTGATGTTTACCTTACTTATTGCACTTTTTGTGCGAGAAAGTTCTGACTGTCATACTGATGTTGACCTTACTTAATGCACTTTCTTGCGCGAGAGGGTTCTGACTGTCATTCTGATGTTGACTTTACCTAACGCACTTTTTGTGCGAGAGAGTTCTGACTGTCATTCTGTTGACCTTACTTAATGCACTTTTTGGGTGAGAGAGTTCTGACTGTCATTCTGATGTTGACCTTAATTTTTGTGAAGGAGGAAACATATTAATTATACCAAACATCTAGTCAATCAGATGCCGTCTCCACTATGAAGCTTGGCTGCAATGAGATTCTAACGCCCTCATAAGTCTGTTGCCCTGGATTCACACTCTTTCAAACTGCTGAAATCCTCCCACTTGTATTTCTTTTTATTTCCGCCAGTATCTCTTTCTCTCGTCTTTCCTATTCTCTTAGAGACCTGTGCAGTTGATTGTGTTGTGTCCATGAAATTTGACCCGTTGTTCTGTATATTACCATTCCGAAGATTCAATTCAACTTCCTCATTGTTTGTTCATTGTCCATATCCATGCACCGCACTGCAGTGTTGCTCATACATAACTTTTGATAATTCCTAATTTCCGTTTGTTGTGCGTCTCTTCTTATGTCAATAATTTACCTTTGTCTTATTTCTTTTATTATTTGTTGTTAGATTTCCAAGACAAGAGAAACTTGTGACCTGACCTAAATTGTCTCAGTTTGCTGCGAAGTTCATTGTTAGCCGCTCCTTTCCACATTTCGTTTTTAATTGTTCTGTTCTTTTTTTTTTATATTAAAATGCAGAAACGATATTTATTTGTTTCACTAGGTCTAGGAGTCGGCTTCTATGGCTTGATCGTTGTTGAAATTGTACTTCAGTTATAAAGGATTGCTTATTTGCTTCATTTATGTAATTGTTACTGTAGTATGCACCTGACTAGATACAGCGAAATATACCAGGCAATAAATTGTGCAATCTATTGTTTGTGTCTTCTTTATTCAAATTTACAACGGGGAAACATTGATTCAAAATTATTTTTAGTTTGGCAACCAAAGTTTTCTACCAGATGAGTTAGCCAATATCCAGCAAACCATCGTTAATGCCTCTTGTCCTAGTTATACTTATATTTAATGTTCCAAAATGCTGCACCAGTATCCTAGACTGAACTCACCTTTAGATTCCCCGTGTCAGGACTTCTAGGCGACGAATGCTGAGCTGTTAGCCAACAACAAACTTAAATACTATTACCTTATGTAAATGAACCGTTATCTTCACAATCCGGGCGTGGGTTTTCCCTCAGCTTAATATTTAATCCGAAAATCGTTTCCCTACTCCAATAAAAATGTAGGAGACTAAATGTGTTTGATATGCATCTATGTCTGTATCCGCATTACCTAAGGAAAAAAAAAAACCGTGTTTACTGAGAGGGTTGGGAAGTTACCGACAGAGAAAAGAAAGTTAAGAAAATATAGCGATTCTGATTTACGATGGATATGAAGCTTTTTAGAATAAGCATGAACTAGTTGGTGGCGGCACTGGATCTAGAGGATGCATTTAACAGGGTTAGCTATGACGTTTTACAGAACACGTTTAGATATGGAGGTTAGTCCCTGGACAGTGAGTCTGATTGTAACAGTCATGTAAGAGCGGCAGACTGCTTTTCGCCCAGGCTCGTGGAACTCTAAATCCTGTGGTGTTGCACCTGGTCTCCCACAGGATTTTGTTACTTCCCAAGTGCTTTTCAATGTGCACACTAGCAGGGTAGTGACAATAGAGGCGGTGTGTATAGAGAGAATCTTGACGTTTGCTGGCAATTTCTTAGCCTACAAACATGGAAAAAAATAGAATATAAAAGACCAGAGAACTGTAGACTGAGGTAGAAAAGATAGGTGAGTGATGTAGGGAAACAGATTCAGTCATCAATCCATATAAGGCAGCAGTATTGTGGTGTTTTTAAAATAATAAAATTGTTGGATGCTGAACGTCACAATAAGGTTCAGTCTCACAGAGAGATACTTGAGATGTGTATGAATTACTTTTAACAGGAGTGTATTTCAAATACAATGTGAAAAAGGCAGTTTTAAAAGTCAATCAACAAAGGACTCAATGTTTTGAAGGTGATGGCATCAGCGGAAATTGAAGAGAAAATGCTCCATACACTCTGCCAGCAATTGACTATTTCAGTGATGGAGTATGGTTTTTGGGACTGCTAACATTATCTCATACCCAAGCAGAAATGATGGAACACATGGAGAATGGAGCCGGGCCGTTACTGACTAATCCCCCGTCCCAATGTGGACGCAATTTATTTTTTATTGTTTAAAACCTCACCCCGACTGACTGACTTTTTACCCCATCAGGACATCACACTGAAACATAAACACCCGGTGAAACAAAGTGCCACCATTCGCATGAGAATCACCCATGGAGAGATCCCAGAAACTACGTTCAACTCGTAGGTTATATTTAGGTCCCCCGACGACAGTCGCGTTGAAGTCCCATCCTGGCTGTTGCCGGAGGTCCTAATATAACCTACGGATTGAAATGGGTTTCTGTGATCTCTCCACGGGTGATTCTTATCCGAATGGTGGCACTTTGTATCACCGGGTGTTTTTCGCTCGTGGTGCGGTCCTGGCGGGGTTGAACCTAGATCCGTAAAGCCGTGCGAGTTTTTTTGGGACGTGCATGAGGCATGCCAATTGTGTGCATGCGGCACATACTTGCATTGCCATCCGTACATGAAAGATACAAAGTTTTCACAGGCGAAAATGTCATTAAACTAGCACCGGACAGTAAACACTTTCTCTTGAGGTCTTAGGGTTAACAAGGGACATTGACTGAAAAAAGATGGCTATTGAATGACACAAGCGGAAGTCACTATAAGAAATAACTGTACTACTGTCAAATTAGCGCATTGGGAGGAAGGGATCACAGCTTTCACCCCAGCAACAGACTTGCAGAGTGTGACAACTACTTTGGACCAAAAGTGCTGCGAGTAAACAGCTGATGACATAGAAAATCAGAGCTTACCAATAAAATTTCACCAGCAGGTGATATCATTATATAAGCAGAAAGGTCTGTACTAAGAGGTAAGAAGAGTGGGTGAGGTTTAATTGCAAAGGTGAATTAACCATGTTTGGAAACAGAGTACCTTACACTACATGCCTTTCGCTACATCCAATATGAGAATGGAGGTGGAGGCAGCTTTCCTATGGCTTGAGAGCAGCACCGCCCTACATTTTGTTAATCGTAACCGACTCAAGAGAGCATGCTTTGGAAAATTAAAACTGGCGTCCTGCGCAAAATGGCTTGCGTCACTTTATAAGGCTCATGCGAGGGGTATTTCATAGATTTTCTCTCTAGGGTTTTCATTTGTGCTATGTTATGAACAGGCTGAAACATTAGCTCCTGCCCCTCCTCTGGGCGGAGAGCTACTTTGTGATAAAACGGAGGTGGGGAAGTCTCTTTTCTGAGATCAGATAGGCAGGCAATAAAACAGACAGAGAATCTTTACTCTGAAAAATATGCGTGGGGTGGGAGGGGGTGGGAGTAAATGTTCTGGAAGATATTTAACACTGAGGAGGAAACGCGAGCTCGCTTTGATGAGATTGCAACCGAAACTATCACCGAAGAAGCATGCCTACTCAGCGACTCAATGAGCATACTAAAGAAGATTAAGGCGGAGTACATACGGAAACAGTGGCTCTATCTAATCCAGCACTTAGCAGTTTGTGAAATCACCTTCATTTTTATACCATCGTATAAAGTATGAAAGGCAACAAGAGAGCAGACGATCTGGCTGGCAGGGAGACTATCAGGAATGCGCCCTCTATAGATAGAAGAGACATCACGAATGCCATAAAAAGAGGGAATAAATGCTGTGAGGCTTTCGGTTTGTGGTAAATGATTTTTCACTCGATAGACTGCTTTCACTGCGTGTAACAGTTGAAGACGCGAGGCAGGAAAACTATGCGGGAGCCACCCGTAGTTGCATCAGCCAGAACAGAATGGAAGTTGTTAGAGACATACTCAGGAGAAGATCGGAGCACTTATGGTCATGTCCGATGTGCGATAAAGATGATATCTAACATAAACCAT